CGAAGCGAAGTCTGAAAGTACTTGGACGGTGCGTTCGTCCCACGAAGCGGCCGCCATCCCGGCGGCGCCGAAAACAGCTCGCCTTATCCGTCCACGTATGATGCCATAGCAGCTCTCGTCGCTTGACAGTCTCCGGGAAGCAAGTCGTCTCACTTTTCAGAAAAAAACAGGGACCGTTCCTCCAGGGGGGCTATGTTGCGCTTTTTGCACTCCCAGGGGGGCTATGTTGCGCTTTTTGCACTCCCAGGGGGGCTATGTTGCGCTTTTTGGACTCCCAGGAGACTAGGGAGAAGGAAGTGACGTCAACAACGCATCAAATGCAGATTGGATGTTGATTTTGTTTTCTTCTGTCAACATCCAATCTGCCTTTGCTCTAGTCGTTGACGTCACTCCCCTCTTCCTAGTCTCCTGGGAGTGCAAAAAGCGCAACACAGCACCCCAGAGGTTCTTGCCGTACCGCAATGCCAAGCGTCTTATACCCTAGTTACACGGGCACTTTGAACTGTCGTTGTGTTCAATCCCAGTTATCGGCCCCAACTGTGATTGAACTGAACTGAACTGAGATGGTGCTACACGGCTCTCTAGAACCCAGTTGAAGCTAAAACGAAACTAGTTCTAGTGCCACGTGATCAGTCTAATTGTTAAAGTAATCTACTCGGAGAAACATATTTAATTTACTTTAAGCAAATCGTACATTATGTTCAATACCTTGTTGCTTTTTAGCGGCGTTTACATCAGTGCCAAAGCAGATTCAGGGCTAAGTTGCGCATATTTTACGCTAGGTGGTGTTAGCTACCACCCGCTACGATAGGTGCGCCCATTACTATTTGTCCATTCACACAGCTGGTCCCGCCGCCATCTTCGCTCGTTTGGTGGCTTGCCGGCTAGCCGGGATCGTTTTAGCGGCAGCTCGGACGCCTAAAGCTATTCCTTCCCGGATATTTTGCTGCTACGATTCTTTTTAGACGCCTCCCCCTGCATTCCGAAACAGTAAGTGCCTCGGAAACGATGGTCGGCGGCAGCGGTCCCGCGGACAGGCGCCATTTTACCTCAGTTGGGGAAGTCCGTTCAGTTGAACTGAGGTAGGGGAGCTCAGTTGAACTCAACTGTCATTAGCGGCTCGATGACAGTTGGCGCCGCCGTGTAACTCCGGCCGATCGCGATTGAGTCAACTGTCGTTGACTCAATGGCAGTTGAAAGCTCCCGTGTAACTAGGGTATTATACCACTTTTCAATGAACGAATGGAGATATCAACTAGACTACAAAGGTTGCCACCCGGCGTAGCTAGAAGCACGGTTACCATGGTAACCTCCCAGGCCCAAAATGGAGGTCACTATCAGCGCTTCTGACGTCGTGCATCTAGATAATTTTGCGTCTTGTCGCTACTCTGGCAGCTACGCTGCCATATAGAGTGGCTCTAGTCACAAACGGTCACGTTCGTGTTTCTCGAAAACTGCTCCCCCCTGCGAACCGCGGGCTCCGATTGGCCACAGCCCGCGTGATAATTCCACGCGGTTCCCACGGGACCGTTCCCGAAACACGAAAGCAACCGTTTGCCGTAACTGTCGCTCTTCGAGTTCGGACCGTGACGACAAAGTGACGTATGACCACGTCCGACCTACGTAGCACATAGCGGAAGTCGTGTAACTAGATTAACTGTGGTATTACTCGACACACCCTACTCTCTGTTTCACTATGAGTGCGAGCTAGGGTGCCCTAGTGCGAGCTAGTGCGGGTGTAGTAGCTACATAAACGTGCTCCGGGCTTTCAACGTCCCTGTCGAGCAGGCGCGCTTGCGCAGTGCAAGCCAACGTTCGTGCAAGCAACGTTTGGGGTGATGTGCTCGTGCTTTTAACTTCTGTTTCTATTGCACGAAGGGGAACAAGCTTTGGGCAGGATTCCAGAGCGTAGAAAATGGCGGCGATGTTTGTTGCGCAACGATGGCTCGATTAACGCGTACAATGACGGGTTTTCCGCGAGCACCCGGTAGCCTTCGCGATGCACGACGACTGTTTCTGACGGCAATACCGCTTGTCGAAAAGCACCGTGTGATCGCAGAGTGGCCAGCTGCGCGACGAGAGACGGCGACTATGAAAGATGATGATCGTCGAGCAGCAGCTACTAATTGAATCGCACTGAGATTTTTCGCAGCGGGGAACTACAAGAGCGCGGTTGCCACCGATGATCATATACCTAATGCCCAGTGGATGGTGATCAGAGCCGTGACGGCCGTCGCGAGTGTCGCTGTCAACCGGCTAGGAAGAGACGGCTGGGTCGACGAAACCCTGGACCGAGGCAGCTGAGGCATGTGCGAAAGAAGGCTTTTGTCGCCACCACGACAAGCACACCGACGTCGTGGGGTGCGTTGACGGAACCTAGAATCTAACAGAACCTTCGTCACCATCATCATCGGTCTGAAGGATATCGTCACCGTTCTGAAGGACTCCAACACTTTTCCGCAAACACCATTTTGTTATTAACAACTTGGTGGTAAGTTGACGTTAAAATTTCAGGGTTTCTACCGCTTCGAAGTTAGTGCACGCTTAGTACCTATGTCTTCAGTTGACCATTTGTTGCGGTTTGTAGCTACTGTCAATCACGCAATAAAATCTGGATGGGTTGCTGATGGCATTTTATTGTATCAACTAGATATTTTACCTTTCCACGCCAAGCTTCTGGAATTGCATGTCAGTCATCAGACGGTCATAAGAAACAATTTTTGATACCCTGCAATGAACTACGAACAGGTGTGTCCTAAAATGAATCGTTAGTTGTTTAGACAGCACGAGTTTAGTCTGACGGAGCATGGTAACATTGTTACCCACTGTAGACGAGAAATTTAGCCAGTGCAATCTTGTGGATGGTCGTTGCGACGAAGCTCGATTGGTCGTCGAAATATATATTTTAATGTACGGCTCCGTTGAGGCGTGGTGATATTCTTTTTCTTTTTCAGCTCGGTCTTCTTCTTCGTTTCCTTTTTCTTCCAGCGTTCACGCGACACCGTCACATGCCGCCGCCTCAAAAAGGCGTCGACCCGACGCACACAACACGCAAAGAAACTGGTGTTATGAAGACACTTAAAGCACACACAAAACACGCGGTAGTTGCAAGTGCTGTACATGTATAAAACAGTATTTAAGTCCACGCAAAACACAATCGTCCGAAGCGGTAATTGCAAGTACTGTACACATATAATACAACCTTCGAGTACAGACACGACACAATCGTCCCACGTGGTAATTGCAACTCCTGTACAAGTATAAAACAGTCTTCTATTGAACAGTTTTAGGATAGTGAAAATTCTGCAACAGGCTCCAGATGCGGTTTCAGTTTTTCTACGTGCACGATGTCCCGTCCTGAACGATCACCGAACTCTATTTCATAAATCACCGGCGATAGCTTGGCCACAACTCGATGAGGCTCAGTGTACATTGTCCGTTTTTTAAGCCCCACTGGCGGGGCCCTCAACAACACCAACTGGTCTCGTTCTAGCGTTATGTCAGTTCGGTGTTCGTCAAATAGTCTCTTCTGCTTCTCCTGAGCCAACTTGATGTGTCGTGCAGCCAATCTACGCGCTTCGTTCAAGCGCTCACGCACGAGCACCGCGTATTCGGAGCTTGCTTGCAGTTCTTGCAGCTCTTTCCTGTTATAAGCCACATCGAAGGGGAAAACAGGGTCACGTCCATACAGAAGGAAAAAAGGAGAAGTACGAACTGTGTCCTGATATCCTGTGTTATAGCAGAACACTATATAGGGCAAAACATCAGCCCACTTCTCTCCAGATGAGGTGGTGATTCGCATCACCTGTTTGAGCGTTTTGTTGGCTCGTTCGACGAGGCCGTTGGCAGCTGGGTGATGAGCTGTAGTCGTTGCGGGGCATTCACACAGGGGAGAAATTCCTTCTTTTGCTTTTCGAGAAGCGCATTACTGGTAAGAACGTCACGCAGGTGGCTAGGGGAGAATTTGTACGTGCTGCACAAACACTGCCAGCCTTGCGTGGGTTCTCTTTGCAACTGGCGGTATTTTGTTCACATGCCTGGCAACTTTAGGGATTTCGCTCTGCAAGATTCCGGCGGTGCCATCGTGATCGTCTAATTTAGTTTAGATGGCGCTGTTACGCATTTTGTACGAGGCACCCTCAGGAGTCTATTACCCCATTCACACGGGGAGCATAAAGGTACCTTTAACACAGGTCCCTTTGCAATCAGCGAACCAGCCTCCGGTCTTGGGTTGCGAACACACTCCACGTGAAGAGGGTCGGGAATTTATTCACCGTAGAGAATGAAGGTCTCTTAGCTAAGGGTACCTTTATCATCGTGTAAATAGTGTATTAGATATTCACGAATGCCTTCCCCAAGCCGCTCCTCATAACTCGTTTTTGATTCTACATTCTTTGTGTTTTCCGTTCACCAATTCAAGAACACGTTTGTTTTAGCAGAAAACAGTTCGCCAAATTTTGGATCAAACAGCGCTACTGCTACGATCGCGTATCGCCGTTTCGTGTATTCCTCCGTTTTTTTTGTTTTTTTTTCTTTTCTCGTGAGCGTGCACCGAGCCCTGTTGTCAAAAGTACGACCGCTAAATGCGTCCGATAACAAAGACGCACATGTTGGCTCCCCGCCGTTCGTGTAAAACCTTGAGTCGGGGAGCGAGTAGCTAAGTTTCCACTGATCACTGTATTCACATCCCTCCCCGAAAATCATCCCCCGTGTGAATACCCCTTTAAATGTATCACGCCCCTCATTAAGTTCGGAGAGCCAGTCATTGGTCTTTCTTTAATGCCTTCAGACAATGAAAAGGACGATCTTTGTCGTGGTTTCATTGTCAGGCACTTTGAGTGGCAGAAAAGACCCTACGCCTCTTAGCCACTGAGTCAGTGACCAGGTGAGTCCGATACCGTTCGCTATTCACCTTGCTTGAACTGGTTCAAGGAAGACCGACGACTAGTTTTCTGAGCACATCCCCGCCTTCTATTCCCCCCGGGGACTTGCTGGAGTGCCTATCGCTCAAGTTTTCGAGCAATGCATTTCCTGGGAACCTGTCTGCTCTTCTTCTTCCGCTTCAGCGGCGAGTCCAAACTCCACTTGTCCTCGAGCGCAGCCTCCTGGCCCTTGTCGGTTGCACTTATCGCCAACGTCTCTGGCAACGAGAGGACCAGCAAACCTAATGTAAAGAGCACGACCGCGTTGACGAGCTTGGGGATCAGCCTGTCCATCGGAGGATCCAGAAGCCGCAGGGCGCTGAAAAGCGACGCTGAGATGCCGCCTAGGCGTCCAAACAGGAAAGCGCCGCACATGACAGCACTGCGCACCGCTGTCGGATAGAGTTCGACGGTGAACACAAACATGGTTGCGAACGACACTTCCACCAGGAAGGCGGTCAGGACCGCGACTTTCGCGAACGCCAGCTCCATCCCCAGAGCCACCAATGCCACCAGTGACGTCATCAGCACGGACAGCCCCAGAAAGTAGGCCGACATCGGCTTCCGGCGGCCGTAGCCGCTCAGGACAAAGTAGCTGACGGTCTGAGTGAACATATTGGCGATCCCGATCATTATGTAGAAGGGGAAGGCACCGCCTCCGAACGATTTGTACTAAGCTATGCTGTAGTAGCAGTTGAAGATGGCCCACCAACCACCGAAAACGATGAGCGTTTGGGAACGCCACAGCGGTGAGCTAACGATGTTGAAGATGGTGGGCCTGGCGGTGAACCCCTCACGCGAGACGGCGCTCTCCTTGACCCTGAAGTACGCTGAGCTGAGCGTACCTTGTCCAGGTCCGGGATTCCGTTCTTTCTTGCCGCCCAGAAAATAACCCGCTCGGCCTCCTTGAACTTCCATGAGGTGATAAGCCAGCGCGGACACTCGTCCGTTAAGTGGTAGGTCAGCAGCAGCAGTAGGGTGGGCGATAACACAACAAGCTGCATTGCCGACCAGTGCATCGAGGTTGTGCCTATAAGGCCGAGCACCACGGTACCCAGCACCAGGGGTACGCAGATGTTAAGCATGCAGAACAGCATCCGGTGGTCTTTCAAAGTCACCTCGGCGAGCAGCACTGTGCTGATAGCCTGGGGGGATACGGAAATCGTGTCAGAAGCTCTTCAACGTTCCTGAGGTACGGTACTTCGATGCTCTAGACATACCAATAGACGCTTCCGAAATTGCGCAGCGCCTCTCATCGTCTTTTGGACGTACTACGGCAATTCGATTTACGCAGCGTGAAGGAGTACAATCAGTACGAGTGGTTCATGCTGGTCAAGCATTTCGCGATTTCATAACGCAAAAAAAACAAGAAAAAAACATCATGACAACATATTAGGGTATGCTTTGGCTTTTGGATGTGTTTGTCTTTGTTTACGTCTGTTTTGGTTTGTTAGTGGTAAGCTAGAGGCATTAAGCTTATTCCAGGACGTACAAAACGCTCGAGCCGGCCCGAACATACATCGGAACGGTTTCACGATTCCCCGCGCGATGCAATATGGGAATGACGAGAGGCCTTTCGGGATTTTTCAGGAAGGTACATTCTTAGTCATCTTTGAACCCGTTCAGACAGTGATAAGGACGAGCATGTCACATCTCCCATTGGTAAACATGACTTGCACTGCTGTGTGTGTACCTCGCGCACCACATATTTCGAAAACACCGAATTTGTTTTCTCGGCAAGAACAACAAGGAAGGCCTATTGGTATGGTTCGATGACATCAAGTGCGAGACATGTATACAATTGGAGCCTGCGCTACGGTCGCCTTCTCATGCCGTTTTGGAGGCGAGAAAGATTAAAAAAAAACTTCACAATATTTATGTCCTAACTCTGAACACTAGTGACAAGCATACCTCGGCAAACCTCACTCATGAGGGCCCTCACTCACCCTCACTGACCCTCATCTTCGCAGGTGAGGTGAGGGTGAGTGAGTTTCTGAACCAGGAAAATTCATGAGTGAGGGCCGTGAGGGCTGTGAAGGCGGTGAGAGCCGTGAGGGCCGTGAAGGCGGTGAGGGCCGTGAGGGCCGTGAGGGCGGTGAGGGCCCTGAGGGCGGTGAGGGCCGTGAGGGCCGTGAGGGCGGTGAGGGCCGTGAGGGCCATGAGGGCCGTGAGGGCCATGAGGGCCATGTGGGCGGTGAGGGCGGTAAGGAGTATGAGGGCCATGAGTGCGTGAGGGGCGTGAGGGCGGTGAGTGGAGTGAGGGCCATGAGTGCGTGAGTGGTGCTAGGGCGGTGAGTGCATGAGGTGTGTGAGGGCCATGAGTGGGTGAGGGCGGTGAGATCGTGAGGCCCCCTTCAGATCGAGCATCTTTCTCAGCAATTTGGGTGTTAATGGCGGGTTGTTCTCTAGCTTTCCCTAGATTGACACGAAGTGCTGAGATCGGGTCCGGCTCGAAATAAGCAAGCAACTCCGAGCAATTCGAATACGTTTGAAGCGGCTATATCCAATCAGGGACACAAAATTTTCACGTGATACCTCGTGCCGGTGATGATGACACCGGAAGACTTGGTTCTGGTTTGAAATCGATCGTTTTTTTTTTAAATAAACTGTCTCAGAAAGGTGCATTAGTATTCTTAACGAGATTTAAATGCATATAAACACGTTTATAACGTGTAATTGTGTCTAAATAGTGCAAGAAAAATAAAATTTTATGATGACGATGGCGAATTGCAGCAATTGGGTGCTGCGTGTGATCGCGGGCGGCCCGTGTTGCTGGTGTTGCGACGTAAAGTTTCTGGGCGAAATTGCCCCATCTGAAGCTGGCCTGAGTGGCGTGAGGGCCATCAGTGCGTGAGGGGCGTGAGGGGTGTGAGGGCCGCAAGGGCGGTGAGGGGCGTGAGGGCGGTGAGTGGCGTGAGGGCGGTGAGTGGCGTGAGGGCGTTGAGTGGCGTGAAGGCGTTGGGTGGCGTGAGGGCGGTGAGCGGCGTGAGGGCGTTGAGTGGCGTGAGGGCGGTGAGGGCCGTGAGGGCGGTGAGTGGCGTGAGGGCTATGAGTGCGTGAGTGCGTGAGGGCGGTGAGGGCCGTGAGGGCGGTGAGGGCCGTGAGGGCGGTGAGTGGCGTGAGGGCGGTGAGTGGCGTGAGTGGCGTGAGTGAGTGAGGGGCGTGAGGGCCGTGAGGGGCGTGAGGGCGGTGAGTGCGTGAGGGCCGTGAGGTTCAGTGAGGGTGAGTGAAGGGCTGAAGGTGAGTGTGACTGTGAGGGTGAGGGTGAGTGAGGGGCTGAAGGTGAGTGTAGCTGTGAGGGTGAGGGTGAGTGAGGGGCTTAGGTGAGTGTGGCTGTGAGGGTGAGGGTGAGCGAGGGCGACCTAAAATGCCGACCTCTGGTGACAAGTAATCCTTAACGTTTTTAGTCTTAGTTAACTGGCATTGAACTTATTGTGTCAAATGTTTGACTTTTCTGTTTTTAAGAACTAACGGGCCAAAGTAAATTTTTTATTAAATCCAGGCATGACAGGGAAGACTACAACAATTATTTCAACGAAAAAAGGCCTGTCCAAACAGGATACTACAAAACTCACGACTCTGGCAAATCGTGCCGCGCTCCGCTTCCGGCCGTCGGGGGGAAATTTCCCTCCGTCAAAGCTGCCGGGGTGGAAAGTTCCCCCTGTCAAATCTACCCTTCGCTTCCTCCATGGTGGCCTTGCTCTGCCCATCACGTGGGTCCGGAGAGCCACTCACACGCTCTGTTGGCTGCCGGTCAATCGCTCAAGGTCTCCGCCGTTTTTAAGGTCCCGAAAACGGGAAAGGGAAGATTAGAGTGTAAGGGGGCAAGCCAGGCGAGCTCGCGTTGTATCCAAGGTCGTGTCATCTCCCAGCAGTTATGTGGATAGGATTGGATTCCCGCCCATCTTGTTCCTAACGTACCTCCTATAGACAAACAAACCTGGTTGGTTTGGAATTTAATAAAATAAATGATATATTCTTAAGTTCTCAGTGTTTCTACATACAACTAAAAGTCTCACTGTTGCGCACCGCACTTTATTTTCTTTTTTTTTTTGAGCTACGACCGTGGATTTAGACAAAGAAACTGAGCCAGGGCGGCCGAAACGCATCCTTCGACGCAGGAATGTCCCAAATCCACCCGAAGCCGGACCTCCTTGGCCTTCGAGCCGAGGCGACGGTGGTACGCGAGGGCATTGGCGAGGTGAGCCAGACGCAGGTGGCGTGTGACGTCAAATCTGACGAGCACCAACGTCAGGGAAAAGTGGAGGAGGCGAGGAGAGAAGTCATGATGGTGAAAATTTTCACGAACCCTGCAAAACTTTTCACTACTCCGACAAATCGTAAAAATAGAAGCGTTCGCTTCAATTTTCACCATTTGTCGGAGTCGTGCGTTTTGTAGTGTCCTGTTTGGACACCCCTTAACGCTGTCGAATAATTCTGGTTTTTCACTCTCATGTCTGGATTAAAAAAAAAAAACTGAAAACAAATTTGCCTTCGCGTGTTCTTTCTTGAAAACAAAAAAGTCATACAATTGACGTTTTCGGCGTCTCCAAACCACTCTCAACTCTTACATAATCTTCCGAGTCACGTGATCTGTGACGTAGTTCCGGGTGGACTAAGGGCACGGAGAATCCCCTTTAGATTCTTTTCCAGAGCCTCCTGCTCGCGCGCCCTCTGCTTGGGATTCACATGGTGACCTTGAAGGTTTGTCTGAGCAGTGTGGAGAGGGGGACAAAAGCCGTTTACAACTCCCTGTAACGCCGAATTAGAGCGCAGCTCTTCAGGAGGAGCCAAGGTCACAAAGGTCATGTGACCCCACTGAGGTCACGTGACCCCTAGGTCACATGACCCCCTCCCCAAAATCACGTGGGGATCACGTGACCTCGGGGGGAGGGTCACGTGACCTAAGGCAATACCACCTAGAAGACAAGGCCTGCGCATGACGTTTCGTTAGTAGATCCCCGACCCGCCCCAAGTGGCAAACAGCTGAAGCTTGACGAGAGTAGGGGCCGCGTCACAACTACGTCGCATTCACTTGCGGCCGCAGCTGTGTGCGTGACTGCTGAGCGCGAGCTGATAGCGAGCTTCCAGTGCATTTGCGACGTGCACGCGAACGCTCCCTCGGCCAGGAGCGCGAGCTAGCACGCGCTCCTGGCTTTGAGACGCGCATTTCTAGCGCGCGCGCTCGTTCTGCGGTAGAAGGCTTCGAAGCAGCTATCCGGGGTATAAACAGCGCCCTCGAAAACGGCGTCCAGTGTCAGCGTCCAGCGTCCAACGAAGGGCTTTTCAGCCCTTCGCGCAGCAGTAAGGCAAATTCGCTCATGCATTTGACGCTCCACGTGAACGTCTAACTTCATCGTATGCTACTTGCAAGAGACACTCGGCGTGAGCATCTGTTTCATTATCTGTTACACAAACCACTGAAGCAGGCGAGGGAGCAGACGATGTAGCAGACGATGTTTCTCATCCGGGCTAGCTAGGGGGCGCTGAGGGGATCTACTAGTGATGACGTTTAGAGGAGGAAACGCGCAGGCCTTGTGTTCTAGGTGGTATTGCCTAAGGGGGGTCACATGACCTGGGGGTGTCACGTGACCCCCCAGAGAAATGTTTCCGCCAGATTTAGCGGGGAAATTTTTCCGCTAAATCTAGCGGGGAAATTTTCCGCTAGATTTAGCAGAGAAATGTTTCCGCTAAATTTAGCGGGGGGAAATTTTTCCGCTAGATTTAGCGGGGAAATTTTTCAACTAGATTTAGAGGGAAAATATTTCCGCTAGTCTTAGCGGGGAAATTTTTCTACCAAATTTAGCGGGGAAATTTTTCCGCTAGATTTAGCGGGAAAATGTTTCCACTAGATTTAGCCGGAAAATATTTCCGCTAGATTCAGCGGGGAAATTTTGGCAGTTTGATACTTTAGACCCATGTTACGGATAAAAAAAACAGGACGCGCGATGGCCAAAAAAACGCGTTTTTCGTTTAAGGCTCGTCAAATTATGAGGCGCTGGAGAAATGCAGCCTTCTGCGTTAAGTCCTTATTTCGAACTCTTTTTGTTCGCCTTCCGCCCATTGAAAAGCATGCGGGAAGGGCCTTAGAACGCACCTGGTATCGCTGCGCCGCAGCGTTCTTCCGCACCAAAAAGTTCGTCTG